TGCTAATTAACACGATTGTAATATATGACAGTTATATATTTATTAATCATTTGTAAAAAGTTGTATTTAGCTTGATTCTTGAAAGGTTCTAATTAACATGATTGTAACATATGAAAGTTATATGTTTATTAATTATAATTATTATCTAATAGTAATTTTCAATATTTAAAATCCTAAACAAAAGATTATTGTAAAATATTATTTGATATTAATTTTTCTTTTAATACTGTGACATGTTTTAAAATATATAATGATTAAAAACAATATATGTTTATCAAAGGGAAAATTTCCTTTTTTACACTTTCTTTGGTACCACTATTCAACTTTACCATCAATCAAAGGAAATTTTCAGAAATACCAAATTCATTAACGTTTAAAAGACTAAAATAACCTTTCTTTATCTTCAATCCATGAACGCCTCTTCTCAGATCCATCTTCTCTCATGGAGATGAGCCATCGCCGTATTCATGAGCTTCGCTGTGTATGTCTTTAACGAGTTCGTCGTCTTCTTCATTCGATTTCGTCTTCATCAAACATGTTGTCGCTGGCGTCTTTATCAAATCTTCTCTCGTGGAGATGCGCTGTCGCCGTATTTACTTGTCGCCAAGTAGTCATTCTGATGAACTTGATTTCCAGCCTTCATCTGGAAATTCTAAAAAAATTGGATGGGGTTATCTGTTAGTGGAGATAAACCAGCTCCACGCTTTAATAACGAGTTTCTTTGTGTTTCTAATCATTAGCTTCTGAGCTGTTTTGAAAAGCTAATGGGTAACAAAAAGAGTTGCTTTTTTTATTTTTGTGACAGCATGCTGCGGCAGCTATTGGTAACAAAATGATAGAAGTTGGTGGTGGATGATGTACAGGTAAATATTTTTTTATTTTTGTAATGGCTTGTTGGATGATGTACAGGTAAATATACTATGGAGAATTAACTTATTTTGGTTTCAAAGCACTAGTTTCTTAGTTTTATTTTTTAATTTACAGGTGCTTAACTTTAATTCATTTACTTGGTCCACTGTGTCTTCAAAAGTTTACTTGTCGCCAAGTAGTCTGCCTCTCATGATTCTGTCCTGGAAAGGCCATTGCTTGGTATATTAACTGTTCATGTTTTTGTTTTGTTTTGTGGGTTTTATATCTTTCGGTTTTGATTTGTGGTTTATCTGTTGTCAGATCTCTTGAGGTAAGAAAGTGCTATTGGTTGGTGGAAAAACAGATCCCAGCAGTGATAGAGTTTCAGGTTTCACATTGCTATTTTTTTAGATTCTAAAGTCAAGATTTTATACGTTACATTCTGCTTAAGACGGTGTTGTATGTTTGTATATATTACTTGCAGTTTGGTCATTTGATACTGAATCCGAATGCTGGTCGCTAATGGATGCAAAGGGAGACATACCGGTAAATTTTTTAATCCTCTCAATATTATTTACAAGTTATTGGCTCGAAGAAACAAGTTTTACTCGTTTAAGTAATTGCAGGTCAGCCGCAATGGTCACACAGTGGTGAGGGCTAGCTCGGTACTGATCCTTTTATGCGGTGAAGATTCTAAGAAGAGAAAACTAAACGATCTTCATATGTTTGATCTCAAATCATCTACATGGCTCCCTCTTAACTGCACGTGAGTTGTTTTTTTTCTCCCTCTTCTATTGTCAGTTCACATGAAACTCTTGTGATTTCTTGAAACATTTTTTTTTGATTAATAACCAGGGGAACACGACCATGTGCAAGATCAAATCATGTAGCTACACTATTTGATGACAAGATTCTGTTTGTGTTTGGAGGTTTGGGCAAGAATAAAACACTTAATGACTTATACTCACTCGACTTTGAAACCATAATGCTTTTCACCGGCACCATTATTACTAGATATAATATTATTCTTTTTCTTGACAGTTATTATTTGTTATCTAGTCATCATCAAGTTCATAAATCATTAGCAAAAATTTATAAATCTGTATTAGGGTTTACAAGAGTATAAATTAGTTACAAGTGTTTATAAATCATTTATAATGGTTTATAAAATTTATAAGGGTTTATAAAACAATAAATAAAATGATTAAACCTTATGCAAAACTTATTAGAAGACAACACGTTGATGATTATGAAACCTTTATGCACGAGTTATACTGAATAAGTTAACAAGTTAAATATTTTCATATAAATATCATATAAAGTCTTATAAAACTGATTTAATTTATAAAATCATCTAAAACCTTCTCTAAGAAGACTTTTGGGTCTGAAATTTCTAGTAGCCAACTTGAGATCAAGGAAAGTAAACTGCTTGAGGTGAGAATACATCTTAAGCTTTTCACTGATCATAGTAGTGGACAAAGAACTTTCAGAATTGGTGGTTGTTGCTCTTGTAGAAGAAGAAGAAACAGGGCCAGCTGGTTGCTCATTTGATTTCACAGTTTCTCAAACTCTGATTCTGAAAGTTAGGTAAACCAACCACATTGTACACATATGGGAAAATAATCTTCAATCAAAATTTTAAGTCTATTTTGGACACCAATGCAGAAAAAAAAAAGTTAAGAAGATTTGATGCCAAAGTGAGATTTGTTTTTAAAAATTTTTTATCAGAGAGAGAGGGAGAGGTATCAACTTCAGAAGTTGAAGATAGACAACAAACCATAACCCTAAATTTGACCCAGCACGCCCCATTTGATTCTTCTTCGCCTTCATTGCTTGACATTGTTAAATTATAAGAGTTTATAAAAACTAAATTTTATAAGAGTTTATAAAACCTTATATGAACCATCTATGATGTTTATAAAACACATGTAAATATTAATATAACTATGTATAAAGGTTTATAAAACTATTTAAAAGGGTTTATAAAACTATTTACAAAAACTTATAAGCTATTTATATGAGTTTATACATTAATTTAAAAATGTTTATAAATTAATTTTCAAGATTTATAAATCTATTTATAACAGTTTATAAATCTATTTATAAGAGTTTATAAATCTTTTATAAGTGTTTATAAATCTATTTATAAGGGTTTATTCAAAAGATTATAAGAATTTAATAATCTTCATAACACGATTATAAGGGTTTATTCAAAATATAATAAGAATTTAATAATTTTCATAAACACGATTTATAAGAATTTAATAATTTTTACAAAAATTATAAGTAAATCTTTATGAAAATATTTATAATGTTTATAATTCTCCTATAAATGTTTGTAAAATATAAACTTATGTATAAAAGTTATAAGTTGTTTTTAGGTGAGTTTTTGTCAACAGAATGATAATTGTTAATGGAGTGATTTATAAACTGATATATAATGGCTTTTAATTTGATTTTTTCTAAAAAATCGTTCAAACAGATAACGAACACAAATAAGCTTTGCAAAACATATTTTTTTTGCATCGTCCCATGTGAGAAAAATTCTGTGAAAATCTCAATGCATGTTTCCATTCATTTTAACCCAATTCTATGTACAACCATAAGATGGATTAACTATAACTACATTGTCACTATTTTGTTCTAAAAGGCTAACACATAAGCACTTTTTAGTTTCACGACAAGGTCCATTGCCAGGCATTTTTCTCTGAAACCACAAGATATTCACCAAATTAACCAACTTTCCACCATTTCGTTGCTTATTAAAGAACATCATTCTTTTACAGTTTCGTTTATAAAGCCTTATAAAAAGTTATAACTGAGCATTGAGATGATTGAGCATTGAGAGCTGCTTGAGGACGGGGAGATAAGAAGCATTACGCCATTTGAAATCCTCAAACTTCTGAACCTCAACAGTGACTCCTCTGAGGTTGCCCATGTTCACAGCAAACCATGACTTCATCGCAGCATAGTTGATCTTGTTGGTGACAAGATGAAAGACGACTTTCTCAGGGGCCTTGGAGTTGAGAGCAGTGGAGTTAACCACAACCGAAGTAGTGTTCTCTCTGGGGAATAAGAGTTTATAAAACCATTTAAATTTATAAAATCTCTTATAAATTTACAAATCATTTACAAGACTTCATAAATCATAATATAAGGTTAATAAGAACCTATAAGAATTTATAAACCATTTATAAAGGTTTATAAGGGTTTTTAAAATGTTTATAAGGGTTTATAAGAATTTACAAAGGGTTTACAAACCATTTATATGTGTTTATAAATATTTTATATAGAATCTATAAGGTTTTATAAATTACTTATAAGGTTTTATATAGGTTTATAAGGGTGTATATGTTTATAAAAAGTTTATATAAGATTTATAAGGCTTTATAAAATGTTTATAATGGGGTATGAAGAGTTTATATAAAAGGTTTATAAGAAATTATAAAGCTTTATAAGAATTTATAAAATGTTTATAAATAGTTTAGAGGCTCTTCTTGAGCTGTTAGAGAAATATATATTCTCCTAGAAAATATATCATTTAGAAGAGTTTATTAATCATTTAGAAGAGTTTATAATTTCTTACATCCTTGATTGCCTCCTTCAGGTGTTTAGTATTTAGAAAAAAAAATGCTCATCACCAATGCCAAGAACTACACCATTTGGTATGATCCATCTTTCATTCTATTTGTATATTCTTCTATGGATTATTTGTACTTGCAAGAATGAAACATCTATAATGATTAACAAAATTATTTATGTGTGTTTATAAAGGTTTGTTAAACCAGTCATATGGATATATAAAATAATTTTGTATATAAATCATTTATAAGAGTTTGTAAAACCTATTATGAACCATTTTTCGATTTTATAAGAGTTTATAAAACCTTGTATGAATATTTATAAATTTATAAAACACTTATAAATATTTATAAAATTATTTATAAAAGTTTATAAAACTATTTATAAGGGTTTATAAAACCATGTACAAGTACTTATACCTAGACATAATGCACAACATGTCCAAAAGTAGCCTTCTTAACACTACTCCCACTATTATTTATTTGTCCGCATCATTATTTGTTTTTTTTTCTTCCAGTATCTAGTTTTGTTTTTGAAGATCTTCTCATTTTCTTTTAAACCAGGAAGTCATGCTGATGAAGCAGCTCCATTCCATGTTTAATGCTGGCCAAGTGTTGTGTATTTGTCTTGTCTCTTTCTTGTTTGTCACAACTGCAATTGCAGATTTGAACTCGGATAGGCAAGCTCTATTGACCTTTGCGGCTTCTGTTCCTCATCTTAGAAAGCTCAACTGGAACTCCTCTAACCATATCTGCAAATCATGGGTTGGTGTCACTTGCACTTCTGATGGTACTGGTGTTTTTACTCTCCGCCTTCCTGGAATAGGACTTGTGGGAACCATCCCTCCAAGCACACTTGGTAAACTAGAATCACTCAAGACTCTCAGTTTGAGATCAAACCTCATTGGTGGTAACCTTCCTCCTGATATTCCTTCTCTCCCTTCACTACGTTACCTCTATCGCCAACATAACAACTTCTCCGGTGAGGTTCCTCCCTTTTTGTCACAAAACCTCAGTATCTTGGATCTCTCTTTCAACTCTTTCACCGGGAAGATACCAGCAACGTTAGAAAAACTGACTATTTTGAGATTCCAGAATAACAAACTTTGTGGACCTATACCTAATCTTGATACAAGAAGCCTGAGACTCTTAAACTTGAGCTACAATCATCTTAGTGGTTCATACCCTCTGCACTTGGTAAGTTTCCAAATTCATCCTTTTCTGGTAACACAATGTTATGTGGACTTCCTCTGCAACCATGTGCCTCTCCCTTTTCTCTTCTCCCACCCATCTCTTCACCTCCATTACCTCCCTTTCCTCACAAAGAAAGTCCAAAACGGAAGTTACATGTAAGCACTTTCATTCTCATTACAGCTGGCGGGGCAGCCCTGCTTCTACTAGTCACCGCAGTTATCTTCTTAATTTTGATGTATTCGGTCCAAGTTATGCACTTGCTGAAGAACCTCATAGATAAAACACTCAGAGAGAGGAAAGTTGATAAAAATTGGAAACTTGAAACTGACAATTCAAAATATCCGTTGCTGAACAAAATATTCTACAAACAAGGAAATATCATAACCGAACATTAGAAGAATTCAAAAGAAAACGATTGAGATAAAAATTAAGAAGAGTCTATACCAATAAAATTAATCCCAAAGGAAGTTCTGAGGTCAATCCTATAGTTTCCTTCAACTTTTCAATAGACTGGACTTGTGACCGTGGCCAAGTCTCCCAGATCCTCCTCCTCCCCAACTCAGAACTTCACCTCCATCTGCTCCAAAATGATACTTAAAAGACAAAAAAAGAAGAAGAGGTGTTTAAGAATCAAGGATCCGTACCAGTAACAGCAACTGAATGCTCAGAACCCAAAGCCACTGATCTGATAGTGATCCCTTTCAGAGCCTGCACTTTGGTTGGCACATGTACCACTCTTGCAGCCTCTTCATAAGAAAAATATGCATAATGAAAACGAACATGTAAATAAACAAGCAACTTAGATGAATTAGGACACTAAATAACAGTGCACAGTAACTTATTAAATACGGAAAAGCTATTTACTTTTCCCAAGTCCAAGCTGTCCACTCGTATTCTTCCCCCACATATAAAGTTCCCCATCCACTAGTGAACAGAAAAGAGAGTAAAAATGTGACTAAGTAAAAAAAAAATCATACAATTTATTTCAAGTCATGACGATGTATTGAAGAACACTGTGCTTATTTACCTGTAACAGCAGCAGAGTGGTTATAACCAGCTGAGATGTGCAGTATATCCTTTTCAATCCCAGAAACTTCAAGCGGCTCCTACAATGTAATATATCATGAAACAGGTTCTAATTAAATTTATCTGAGATGAAGACATTGTGAAAAACAGAGAAACAAAGAAACACAAAAGCTTAATTAGTCTTTTGACAAACATAACATACCAAAGCATGAATGTTAACATCCGAGACACCAAGTTGGCAAAAATCATTAAGACCTGTTGCAAAGACTCTCCTCGTTTCTGTCACATGTGTATGGTAAAGCTCATAAATCAGATTGAAAAGTATAATACTTTACACTTAATAGGCCCAATTTAAAACCAATTCAAACAAAACATGATCACCGGTGAGGAAAAGAGTGTGAGCTCCGCTGCAAGAGAGAGCTCTGATACTGTGATCACTCAATGCAGAGCAAAGCGGCAGGTCTCCACTGAGACTCTAAGCTCCCTAGCCCTAATCTTCCGTAATCACCACTTCCCCATATCGCCGCAAATCGTTTCCCGCTTTCGCTCGACAACCATCTTCTACCCGAAACACCAATCCTATCCAATTTCGAATTCTCGAAAACTCCACTCAAATGATTCGATCCTTGAATAATCGATCGAGAGATTCGAATTCGTCCGGGGCTCTAAATCAGATCCAGAAAGCTTGTCGGACCTAAAAGCTGACTCTCCTCTCCCCAGACTCACCGTATGTCTCGCCGCCTCTCCAAAGGACGCCGGGACCATCACCGTTGAGCAGCTCGCACGAACGCAAGATTGCATATTGACAAGGTTAGTCGAGGAGGAGGAGAGCAAAGGAAAAAGGAGATTAAGAGGAGAAGGGGTTGCCTCCAGCACAGCCACGGCGGCTGGCCGGAGTTAGGGTTTTATTTTGAAAGTTGTCGCCTTTTGGTCTTCACGAGAGAGAAAGAACACTGAGAGCTTTCTTTTTCTTTTCACGCGAAACCTTAGGTTTAGTTAACTAGGGGTATGATGGTATTTTTGCATAAAAAATTTAAAGATAAAGTGATTAATGCAAAGTTAAAAATGTGTACAAGAAAAGTGGTATTCTTCACAAATTCCCTTTATCAAAAGATAGTAAAAACAAATTTTGAAGAATTAAATTTAAAAATTATTTATTAGTACAAAGTAACTTAAAAAATTATTTAATAGTATTTTGTAGAAATGTTTTCAAAAATCCTAAACAAAAACAAAATTGAAAAAGGTTGTAAAAGATTTTGAAAATTAATTTGTAACATATTATATTGAGGTTGATTCTTTAAAGTTGTTATTAACATGATTGTTACATATGAAAGTTATATATTTATAATTGTGATATGTTTTAAACTATATCATAATTAACAATAAATATTAAGATACTAAAACTGATTTTGTTAAAAATTAATTATAAATATTGTTTAATTGTAAATTTTCCATTTCTAAAATCTTAAACAAAATCTAATTGTAAATAATTATATTATAGAAATTCTGACAAGTTTTAGAATGTCTCATGATTAAAATATATATATAAATAAAATAGTAAAACCTTGAGACATGCATTTAGGATCTCACTTCATGCCTTGAGACGTTAGAGACCAGTGTGCTGGGTTTAGGGCAAGACCTAGGTTTACTTTCAGTTTTAAGGCTTTGCGATGACTAGTCGGCTTTCGTTTTGCCTGTTGCGATTTTAACCTGATTTCGTACCTATTTAATGTCCGCGATAGGTTCTCGGCTTATATGACTTTTCTGGTCGAAATCGAGCATCCCGAAGGTGCTGACCAAAATTTTGGATTTCTTTTATAGCGCGATATTTTATCCTAGTCGGATGTATAAAAACCAGTGAGTCGTATGCATTTGTTTTGGACGGCAGGTGTGCTCGGCAAGGCCAATCGACGAGCATTTGTGATTTTATAGTCACGGATGGGCTTACGAATATTTCTCTAAGACTTTACGCGACTTCTCGCCGGTTCTTTTAAAAATAGTAGTGTTGATACGAAGTATAATTTTTTGGTCGAAGCGACCAAGTTTTTTTTTATATAACTTATTGCGGAAGTTATTTCCGAAAGCGTTTGGAATTCATGTTTGTTTTCAGCTTATGCTTTTCGATAAAGGAGGGATTTTGTAATATTCTAACATTGTCTTTATTGAAATGTTTAAAAAATCTTGAGTACAAAGTGAATATTTTAAAATATGGGAGTATACGAATACTCGTATACGCACACCCACGCCCCTTCCCTTAGGCGAGCTGCCTATGTATCCCTTTCGGGAATCAAGCTATCTCGTAGTTCTGATTTGTTGTGCCAGTGTGTTTACACGGATATTGTAGACGCGTCGATCACTTTAGTCGCTGGATCAGTGTCTTGTTCCGGGTTTTTCTCCTCCGGTTGGGTAAGAGCCATGGGTTTGGTAACTCGTTGCTTCTTAACCGTTGCAGGGCTTTCTGATTCAGGGTCTTTCTCCGCGGTTGGCGGAGTTGATTTCACCTGTTTTTTTTTTACGATGGCGATCGCCATTTGCCTTAGCTTATGTTCCGCTAAAAAGCAAGACTGCGACTGTCTCTGGCATCCCCAAATTGCTGCGACTTCCGTAGGAGTTGGAAAGTTGATGCCTAAGTGGTACGTCGACGGGACTGACTTCATGGCGTTTATCCAAGGCGTGCCCATGATTACATTGTAGATGGCCGGTCGATCGACGACTGCGAAAGTAACGATCTTGGTCACTTCTTTTGCGGCCACCGGGAGTCGGATTGATCCTAGAGTCATAGCCATTTCGCCAGAGAAACTGGTCAACGGTTTTTGTGTCGGTTTGATCTCTGTTAGTCAGATTCCCATTCGCGTTAAAGTGTCACGGAAGATCACGTTGATGGTGCTTCCAGTATCAACGATTACTCGGGTGACCTCTAAATCGATCGCTTATGACTAGGTCGATGACGAGAGGGTCGGCATGCGGATGGTCGATCCCGGATGTTTCTGCATCTTCGAAGGAGATTACTCCTCTCGGAGTATCATCCAATGGAGTCGGCCAGTTCGAACCTGTCTCGGCTTTTTGTCGGTAGGACTTGATGGACGAGATGGTATCGCTGTAGTATTGCGGTTCACCGATGATCATATTGACCCTTTGGCGGTTAGCATCGTTCCCTCTCTCGTCTTGTCTTCGTCCGTGTTTCTCACCTGTTTGGTTCCCTTGAGGCGAAGTGTCTGCCTGCGAGTTCCTATCGGGTTTCGGAGGGGCGGTCCGAATAGCGGATGAGGTCCTTTACGCTGGATACTTCATAGAGTTCTCCCGCGAGAAATTTTGCGGCCTTGCGCCGAGAACTTTACAGTTTACGGTTGAATGGCCGCGGGTCTGGTGGAAGTCGCAGAAGGCGTTCTTGTCATAACTCGAATTTCCTGGTCCACGTGTTCCTCGTAGTTTCCCCTTGATCTGATCCAGAGTTTATGGCGTAGTTATGCGCCCCTTGGAGATCCTGTCCCTCGTCATGGACGTGCTTGTCGTTACGAGGGATTTTTTTTGGCTTTTGCTCGGACGCGGCGTCTTTCGCAGACGTCTCTGTCGGTTTATGCTGTCCCGCCAGGATTTTAGTCTCCTCATGGATGATGATATAATCGGTAGCTTTGTGGAGCACATCTTGGATCGTACGCGGTTTCTCGAGAGTTATCCACTTTCTGAACTTCAATTTGAACCAGAGCGACTTTCTTAGTGCGTTGATGGCTGCTCTGTCGCTTATTCTGCTAACCCTAGCCATGATGAGTTTGAACTTACTCATGAACTCGCGAAGAGGTTCGTCTTCCTTCTGGGTTAGACTCCAGAGGTCGGCATCAGAAGTGTCTCAGTTTATGAACATCGAGTACTTCTTCAGAAACTCCGAGGCAAGCTAGGGGAAACTCCCGATCGAATTCCGCTAAGTCGAGAGAACCATTCGAATGCTTCCCCTTCTAGGTTTTCGGCAAAAAGACGGCAGTAGCCCGCGTTCTTTTCGCTTTCCTTGAGCTTGGCTCACCCCATAGTGATCTAGAAGGCCTGCAAGTGCGCTTTGGGATCAGTCATCCCATAATAAGTCGGCACTTTAAGCTTTCTGGGATCAGGCAGCTTGATCGGTGATACGAGCCGTAAAAGGCGTTTTCCGAGATTCGTACAGCTATCGATCTATTTCTGGGGTGGCACTAGTGACATGGTGAATTCGAGACTTCAATGCTTTTACCGCTGCGGCCGTTTTTGTGATAAAATCGCGGAGATGGTGAATCTCAGTTGGGTCGCCAACAGTTTTCCGACCCTGTTGACGTTTGCTGCGAGTAACTTGATATTGTTCTTCGGCCGTTTTCGCATGCTCGATGCAATAGAGCTCCTCCTTGTCCTCAGTGGGAGAGTGTTCGTGAGAAGATTCGGCCTGAGGGCTGCGATCTTTTCTTCTTCTTGGATGAACGTTATTGTCTTCATCCGACGGATCGTATTGGTCGCTTGTTTTCAGATTAACCCTTTCGACGCTGTTGTGCTTGGACTCCTGCTCACGAGAAGGAGATTTTTCCGATTTCTTTTCCGTCACATCAGGATTATCTTTTTCGGAGGTTTGCCCCGGTAGATTACCTTGCTCGGTCCTGGGACGATCCATAGGAGTCGCGAAATCGAGTCTTCTTCAGTGGATTCTTGTAGTTCCGCGGGGGCGGATAGATTTGGTCTTCGCGGTTAAGGTTTCGACCTGTTTCGCGAGAGATCCGATTAACTTATCCTGCTCGTCCGTCCTCTTTTGATAGGCGGAGAGTACTTCCTGCAGTGACGTAGTGTTGGCCGCAGCGTTATGTGGTCGCGTTTGCTGTTGGAGTTTGAGTTTCAATGTTTCCGTTGACGTCAGTCGGTTTTTCTTCTGTCATCGTATCCGATCGAGCGTTATGCGGTCTGAGAATTAGATAGATCCGTAATCCCTCCTTCTAGCGCCAAACTGTGGGAACCGAAATTCACACCGTTGATTTTCGTAAATTAAGGAACTTAAGGGAAACCCAAAGTTCCCTGAGGTCCAGATATCTGCTAAACCACACGCCAATCAATCAGAATACGAGAAAGACAGTAAAAAAATATGAGAATCGAAAAGAGAGCAAAGAGGTTTCTTATTCCGATTTTTTGTAAGAACGTTACAACGAGGTAAAGCCTTGGCTACAATAGCTGACGGCGAGTTTCCTAGTTCTAGCAACCTGAGACTAAAAACCTATTTGAGACGTAGCTCGTTAACAAAAACAGAAAGTTGCCTAAATGCTAAGTTTTTCTGTGTGATGAGAGCTCTGAAAATAATGTCCTTCTTCTTGTCCTCAACCTTAAGCTTATATACTCCTCTCCTATGCGGTTTAGCCTTTCCTTTTCCGCCTTGATTCAGAAATATTCCATTTCTCTCGATTCTCCATTTTTATCTTGGAAAACTTCTATTTTTCTCCGAACTTGATATTTATCTTCTTCCTGCACATAAATGGAAAAACGGTCATTGTATCTCTGGGTTGGACTTCGTCTAAAGTCGTGTATGGGCCTTTATCGCGTTTTAGGACCTTTCGGGC